GAAGAAAAAAAGATTTGAGGATCTGAAAGCAAGCACCTCTGTGGGAACGTAGAAAACCAGCAGTTGCTTATTTCTCCTCACAAGAATCAATGTGGCAAATATGGGAAAGGAAATGCAGAGATCCCTTGACAGGGACCACACTCTATGAAAAGTGTATGAGACAGAAGGAGCATGGTATTAACTTGGCCTCAAGAATTCTAGTCATGATTGATTCTGCTTCACGCAGACTTTTACTTTAGTGAATGTTTTACAATGCTGCAGACAAGGTTTTTTGGGTAGATGTGATACCTTTTATTAGATGAACTAAATAGTTGGACAAATTGTTCCTTGCAAGCTTTCAGACACAAACACCCTTCTTCAGGCTTATAGGGCATTTATACACATGCCTCTGTCTGCTCCGATGTGCCAGAAATCCAGCACATCAGAGCAGACTTGATTAATCGAGTCTGCAGAGCATGCCAGCTGACTTGCCCGGTGCTGTGTCGCATGCATTTGCATAAATGACAAAATGCATGTCAGCGTGCAGAAAATGGGCAGCAACACCACCATTTTCTCAGCACTGATGTGCATTTTACCATTTATACAAATGCATAAGATGCAGCACTGGATGCTTTTAAAAGCAGCTGGTGCTGCAGCACATGCATGTGTCCAAATGCCAATGGAGAGTCTGCTGGTGAATTGTGTTCTCTCCTGGGTAGAATAGAGGCCAAAATGCAGATTTATGAAAATGCAAATGTGTGGCAGTGAGGATCAGAGGGAGAGGTGGAAGACAATATATGTGAGACAGGTGGGAGGGAAGGGGAGATGTTGAACTGCTGACAGAAAAATGTAGCTGATAAAATGCAGACAGGTTACCTGGGGTTATCAGATGGCAGGCAGTTTATAATGTGCCATAAATCCAATGCCTATATTTAATCCATGATTTTTTGTATCCAGTAGATTTATGAAGTTAAGTTCATAGGCTCATCTGCAAAAGGTGTTTTGTAAATTCCCTTTGAGGATTAAAGGATTAGAACCAACAACCTTAAAATGCTGCAGTTACCCCATGCCTGAGAACGTTTCTGTTGCAGCCAGTCAGGGCAGCATTTCAATACACATAATGTTAGAGAAAGCCTAAGACCCATTCCAGTGAATGGTAATTTTACTACACTATCTTTCTCTTGTTTGATGTATGCAGTTATTATTTTGGTACTCTAATTTCTTGTTGGCAGTGACTTCAGTGCCTAAATATTTATCAAAGTACACCACTGATTTGGAGACAAAGTCTGTACAAAACACCAAGTACTTCTACTTGGTGAAACACTCTTTGCAGAAGACTGCTTTTTATCAAGCATGATGCTTTGCATTTATTAGAAGATGTACACAAAAATAGGGTTAATAGTATAGATCATGCATGTTACTTTACAACTCCGATCACTAGTTACAAGTTGGAAATAAATGCTCAGTGGACATATGTGAGGATACAATAGTACATACACATACTCTGTTTATGACATTCTTTTAGCATAGGGACAACTCTCAGCAACACAAGCAGAAGTCTATAGTCACTGGAGATGGAAGGATTGTCAAAAGAGGAGAAAACTGTTTTAGTCTCTCACAATATTAAAGTGGCAGAACAGGAAGTACCAGTATGAGTTGCCTCTCAAGGATGTGAGGCAAGAACAAGTTAGGTTAGAACGATACCCTGGCAGTATAAAGCATTTACACACAAAATAAACATGCATTGCAGTGCACTGGAGATGAGTAAAGCAGGGGGAACTCCTTGACACAGTGCTTTATTACTACAGTTCTATAAAGGAAAGTCCAATAGTGTGATAAATAGTGCAGTCACAATAAGGCCACAATATTACAATTGACAAGGACCTTAAAATTAAGCGTTCTGTAATAATATAACTTTCTATCATTTATATAGATTTTATACAGTGTACCTGAATTTCATCTCATCATAGTCCTTTTTTCAGAAGTTTAACATATTGCTTAATAACACACTTGAAACAGTTGAAAGGAAGATGGCTCACAGGGGGAAAAACACTAATATTCACTAAATTCTAGACTATATGCACCTGGATGAAACTGATGCACAACTGGCTAATCAGAAAAAAGGCTAGCAAAGGATTTCCTCAAGTTTCGGATAGTTTCAGCTTTTGCTTCATCCTCATTCACAGATGATCGAAAGAAGGATGATTCTGTGAAACTGAAGGCATTTGTCAAAGACTGTGACTTGCTGCAAGATAAAAACATGCAACGTGGTTAGTACAGTCCCATTGTCAACCAGCTTCCATACAATCATGTTGTATATGCATGGAAACTATGTAAAAAGGGAAACCTCCATGGGATGAAAACAGTTTTACAAATTTAAACAAAAGTGAACAAGAGGAGAAAATATTAGTCAATAGCATATAGAGCTGCTAGAAAACAGTACATTTCCTCTGTCTTTTAGTTTGAGAAGCAGGCTCCCATGCATATTTTATAGGATAAGTTGCTTAATAACCAAGCTAAGCTCTTTGCTGTTCAAGAATACTAGGGCTCAATTGTTCCTATTGAATAAAACGACTAAAGGAGAATTTGGCTTATCAAATCAAATTCAGAGCATAGGAAGCCCAAATTCAGGATGATTACTTAAAGGGGTAGAGTTTTGTTTCTTAGGAGGCAATCTCTTGTTGCCACAAGGATGAAAGGAGGCATGTCAGTCAATTTGAAAACTTGAATCCTAAAGTTGTAGTATCTGGTGATGACATTAGGTGTTTAACCCTTAACTCTGCTTTTTTGATTTTTAAATTTTTTTAAATGTCTTTGATGATTTTTAAAGAATAATTATCAGCATTGTTGCATTTACTGTAAGCAAGTAGCCTAATTATGCCAAGTTGTCTGTAGTGTTGTCATGTAACCCAGGTATAAATATGTCTCTGTGAATAGAATATGTCCTAGCATAAAGAAGCGTAATGACTAAAAGTTACAACTGTGTCTAAGCCATAAGTCTTAAGATAACTTTAGAAAGCTAGGTTGAGATAAAAGAAAAAATAACTGAAATGTACATACTGCTGAATTTTTTAGTATGTATGCAAGCAATTGGCCATAATTTAATTAGTAAGGATAACTGGCTTTCTGGGTATTCAGTCAGTCAAGTTCTCTTTATCTTATTACATATCAAACAATTCAGCAGAAGACTGCTGTGAGATTTTGCTGTATTAAAACAACAACACAATTTCCTCATTCATGTTGTCTCATACTCTCGAAGTATGAAAGTATGATTTGCAACTCCTCTGCTTCCAAACTACTAGCATACAACAAAGTAGTGCTACAGGCATTTCATGCATTTCATAAATTATAGCTGGGTTAATGAGAAAAGGCCAATAAACAGTTGAGTTTGCACCGGTTAACAGAGGCAGGGAAGCAGCACTTGATTAGTAACACAAAATAAACAGCCTAATTAAATATTTATTCATAGTTTAATAACCTGTATGCACATGTTAAGCAACAGCATGTGGGTGGATACAAGAGATGCAGATGCAAATACACACAGTGCAGTTAAGCCGAAAGGCAGGAGATTTTACTTGGACACTAAAATATGCTGTGGAATAAATTTGCCTCTTGGTGAAAACTGCAAAAGCTGTTTTTAACCTCAGCAGGAATGCCAGACTAGACCTGGGATCTGAAATGCTTGCCAATGAACACTGACCTCTCAAAAAGTTTTTATTAGACTAGGGAAAAGTGGAAGGAAAAATGAGTCTAGTTAATGTTAAACTGGGAACAGAGATACAAATAAATGGTGTGTGGGGGGCTATCATTCTAATATAATAAAAGTTGTAACACTTCCAGTTGTGTGTCTGTCTGTCCCTAACACTCTGGGCCAACTGTGCATGCGCCACCTTATTGACAGATAGACACACAGGCAAGGTGGAGGTGGAAGTGGAGGGGACCAGGGTGTGCTCCACCATGTGGGGAGTGTGGCTGCAGTGGGGCATAGTGTGAGGTTGCAGGGTGCCTCAGGGAGTGGCGTGTGGTGTGTGGGCAACAGCTGCCGGCTGCAGCAGGTGGTTGTGGGGCGGTGTGCACCCTCCACACCTGCTCCCTGCACAGCACCCTGTGGCAGCATCCCCCACCCCTATGGGGCACAACTGCCAGCTGTGGCCGTGGGGTGTGCTGGGTGGGTGGGGGCAGGGTGCCACACAAGGTGCCGGGGGGCGGGAAGGGGAGGCGGATCATGGTGGCCTGCTGCTGCTGCCAGAAGGGCTGGTGGGGACTGGGACTGAGGCTGTGCCAGGCTGATCCTGCCAGGAGGAGTGGGGGCCTGTGCTCAGGCTGGGCCAGGCTGTGGGGCCATGGGAGCCCAGTGGCTCCTCCAGGGCTAGAGGCAGGTGGCTCCCACCACTGTGCGCACCAGGGGGAGCCAGGGGAGGGGGACCCATGCTGCCCCCTGTACTCCCTGATGACCTGGCTCTGCACAAGCCACCAGGCTCTGATGGCCCCACAACCCGGCCTGGCTGAGGCCCCAGTTATGGTGAATGCAGCCCTGGCCAGATTGGGCCATGGGGCACTCAGAGCCTGGTCGCTCTTCCAGAGGCAGTGCTGGGGAGCCCAGGGGGGCATGTGGACCCCCAGTCTGTGCATGGGCGGCTGCAACTACAGCTTCCGCTCTGCTCCCCACCTTGCTGCCCCTGCTTTGACAGCGAAGTGGCTGTGGGGAAGGTCAGGCCGGGCAGCAAGGCACATTTCTGTGGTGTGGGGGTGGTGTGTGACTATAGCTGTGTGTGTGCGGCATGCAGCATGTCGGTGGGTGTGTATGGTGTGTGGCTGTGTGTGTGTGTGGGGGTGTGTGTGTGTGTGTGAGGTGGGTGGGTGGCATGTGGCTGGGTGGGAGGGTGGCATGTGGTTAGGGGTGTGTGTGTGTGGCATGTGGCTGGGTGGGTGGTGTGTGG